AACACTGTCTAAAGTAATATTTAACAGTCCAAAATGCAACCAAATCTGGTATGGTAACATTTCAGAATGTACATAAGACATTTCCATAAAAAAAAATTAATAGCTAAACTTACCACTATAACACTTTTTATGCTGCAAGCAACAAAACAGTAGTTTCCTTTGCATAAGCACATTTTTTAGCCATGTTCTGGGTATATAAATAATCACAACTGTTTAATGTTATTCTTATCAGTTACAATGAGCATCACCTTGCCAGAACATATTTCTTGTAATGCTGTTTTATTAAAACAAATACAATGCTACAGCTGTGCACTTAGGGAATTTTTCTGTCATAAGAATTTACACTAAAGAACAATCACTTGATTTTAGGAAACTGTATGTATGGGAGTTCAACCCAGTTTAAGGTGCAAACCCATTACTTCACAAGTTGTTAAAGATGTTACCATAGATGTTGAACAGTTAGTCATTAATATTGCAGGTTTCGATAGTGCATTTCCAGTGTCATGGCAGTTGGAAATGTCCTATGACACAGTATAGAAAGTACTGAAAAAGTTGGTGCATTGTTTATTCATACAAAATCAGCTACAACCTGCAATTACTTGCTTCTGGTAGAGAAATCCAATTGACCTTAGTATTGACCTTCCTGGTCAGAAAGAAATGGATAGATCAAGACCAAAGAAAATCCTGTGGAGAAACAAAACACATTTTTACTTCAGTAAAACAATGAACACCTGTAACTGTTGCATTGGGACCATGGAAAACTCTCATGTTTCCAGTAGATTCCTTTGCTTTTATCTACAGTTACAGTCTGATGTAGATTCATAACCACATGTATCCACTAACTTATTTGAGGAAACTAGTCCCAATACAACAGTTTCTGCAACAACAGTGTCATCAATTGTGTGTTTCCTACTGCCTGGATATCTCATTATCTAGATCTTAATCCATGTAATTTTAGGTTGTAGTGACACTAAACAATATATTTTATGAAGGACATTTTGCAAATTTGACAATCTTGAAGTATCATGCTTTGTGAGAAGCATCACAAAGAATCAATTACATCAACTGTTGAAAACACTGTTCATTGCCTTCATGTTTTACACCTTCAGAATGTGGATCACATTAATCTACCACACTGCTATGGTCTCTGTATGGCATAAGTGTCATGTAAAAATAAAATGTTTGTTACTTGCAGCTCCAAAAGTGTCATAGTGGTGAGTTTTAATACTAATTTCTTTTTTATGGAAACATCTACACATCCTAAAATGTCACCATATCTTGATTTGGTTGCATTTGGACTGCTAAATATCTCTTTAGGTAGTGTTGAAAAGAGATATTTTAATTATAATCACCTGATACGTTTTTCATATTAAATTGAAGTATAAATAAACTTATGTACAAATATCCTTCCTCCAAAAATTATGTTTATAAAAAGTAATTTTTTTACATGATTACAAAATGAAAAAGTTAATAAATAATTTAACAATATTCTGAATAAAACAGGATACCTTGTAATTTTTCCATTAGTCTCTGTCTTGATAAATGGCATTTTCCTTTCCAATGTGAAATAAGTTTTAATTCATCACTTGTGCCACACATCATATAACTAAAACAATTTAATTTTTAGTTATAAAGAAAATAAATAATTCTAAAAATAAAAATATTTAATTTTTAGTTCAAGATTTCTTTTAATGGACAATTACAGATATTAAAGCTTATAATTAAAAAAAGCAACATAACATAACATAATAATAATAGCAATTCAATAATACCTGCTAAGCTCATGGACTCTAGTTGTGTTATGTTTTAATGGTGTAAGTTCATGCCTAAGACACTGAAGTGCTTCTATAATCCTTCCATCTTCTAACTGTTCAAGATATTTTTCTTCTAATAATAAAAATCTCATTTCCTATTAAATACATTATTAATGTATTTAATAGTTTAATATTAAACTTTGAGATTTTAATTTTCAAAAAATATATTTTTTTAAATACATTATAAGAGACATACCACTAATGCATTAGAAGATTCTAATAGTGGTTGGAGATCATTTAAATCAGTTTCAGCCTATGTAAAAAAATTTTAATAAATAAATTACTTATATTTAACTACAATTTCAAATTGACAATGATTCAAAATTTACATTTTTTGCATTATAATTTAATCCTTGTGTGGCTATGATTAATAATGGATTGCATATAAGTTGATTATTTTGACCTTTTTTTTTACTATGAAGTTTTTGTAATTTTAATTAATATCATATTCCGTTAAGTTAATACATTTTATTACAGGTGTATGTACTGTACATATCATTACAAATAAATAATCTCAGTATAGAAGAGAGAGAGAGAAAAATAAAATGTGTGGAAGAAACAGAGTAATAAATTTTCTGAGTAAAAACATAGTTGCAAAAATAAAAGGAATATTATATAAAACAATTTTACATAGTAATATACTCTATGTAGCTGAAATACGACATAAAAAATATAAAAAAAAAATCATTGCCAATAGAAATGGATTATTAGAGATCAGCAAAAATATCCACATTACAAAAAGTAAAAAACACAAAACTACTAAAAAATAATGCATACAAACATATAATTATACAAAAAGAGAAAGAAAAATGATTGAAGTAGTACAGACAGATAAAAAAAAAAAAAGTTAGGGGAGAATATTGCAAAAATGTTTGAATGGATGTTGAAGAAGATTTAAAGAAAGAAAAGAAAAAAAAAAAAAAAGTTAGACCCTGATGTAAGTAGATGGGCAAAGTAAAAAAAAAATGAAGGAAAAAGATTTAGAAAAGGTGGTCATACATTCATCTTCTGTTTTTATTTATCTCTGTTCCTCCAGACACAGATAAATAGAATCAGAGGATAAAGAAATGTATGACTTTCTCTTTATTTAGATGGGAGATAAAAAAATCTAGCAAAAAAAATTAAAGTATAATTAATTTTACATTGTACTTTCATTATTTGTGAAAAATATTGGAGGAAAAATAAAAATATATTTAAACAATCTGAATAATTCAATTAGCCATATAAGAGTTGTCAACATAAAACATTTCCAGTCAGGAAAGTCAATAAACTGTATCTTAATAATGGTCTGGAGGCAATATTGAATGGAAATCTGAGTAGCATAACCAGTAATGCATCTGCATGGTATGTGAAAAAGTATGAGATTCAAGCTCTGCTTTAGATAAAACTTTTCTTTCAAAAACTTCTAAATTATTTAATTTAATCTAAATTTATTTCAAATTATTAAATTTAACATAATATAGTGGCCTAACAGTCTACTTTCAACCAAATTACATTATTTAATCATTAGCTGTATTATAGTCCAAATGTAAACCAGTGATAATTATTTGATTAATTAACAAATAGGAATTTTATCTTCATATTTGATAACTTTATATTGAACTAATGTCTTTGTTTCTTCCTAGTACAAAACTTGTCAGAAAAAATTTTTATCAAAAAATTATTCTACATTTTGATGTTCTAACCATAATATTCCTAGTATTTCTCATATTCTTTGAAGAGAAATTTGACATTTTAGAATACATGACATTCTCTTTCAATCAATCTCATCTAACTCCCTAACAACAATCAATCCTCCAATTAATAGGAAAAATGCCCAATTTGGTTTTGATTCTATTACATTTTCATCACATAACATCTATATTTTTGGACATTGCTATAATTATGTTCACAAGTACAAGTATAATAATATGGATCAGCATTGCATCTATCTATCAAACCTCTTTGAATTATGTATAATAATACTGCATACTTATTTTCTACCAAAACAAATAATATCAGAGAGTAAACTAAAACAATAAAACAGTATCATAAGTAATCATGTTATGTAAAAATCACTCTATGTAAAATAATTAAGTCATAATTCTTAAAGAAATAATAAGAAAAAAAAAAGGTAAAACTTACAGGGCAAATGCATTGCTTATAAGTGGGTGGCATCTATACAAATTATTTCCATTATTAATTAATATAACAGGTTAGAAGGAAAAAAACTTTATAAAAAAAATTAAAGCAAAAACTGTATGATTATTTCAATAAACACATTATGACAAAGTTTGATTGTTATAAATTTGTTATTATATATTAATTTGGCATGTTAGTCATCCTATTGATTACTCGTTTAATTTAAAAATCACCTAAAATTAATAAAAACTAAAGATAAATATTACAAAAATCAAAATATATTAATAGGTTCGTAATATATTTTAAGGTAGAGCAATCTACATATTCTATTTATCTAGACATCAAACAGGCTTACGATTCTGTAATTCCCTCTGTGCTATTTAACTTCTTGAGATAAAGATATGATATAGATTTTAGCTTAATAGTCTAACTGAATAATTTTTATCTGCTCAGAACTTACACTGTAAAGTTAAATGATTTATATTTTTTTATCTTTCTCTCCCATTAAGCATATTCCTCAAAGTTCCTTAAATAATTTATTTTTCATTTGCTACATAGACTAGGCTTTCATTCCCATTTTCCAAAATAATCTTATATGCTAATGACATTAAAATTTGTAACCCAATTCAACTTCAAAGTGATCTTACATTGTTAGTATAAATCTGAGAAAGTTGAATCTTATTAGAAATTCAATAAATCATCAGTTGTCATGTTTTTATAATTCAAATAATTTTAAAAACAACTCCCTTTTATAACTGACCCACACAATTTGATATTAATTTTTACACTATAACTTGCATGCAATTCGTCTTTGAATTAAAATTCATGCAATAAATATTGACTGTTTTTGAATATAATTATGAAACAGTCCAAAAGCAGGAATTTTTCAAACAGTTTTAAAATCAAGATAGAATATTAAAAAGTAGGACTGTTCTGCCTAATTCAGGACATCTGATCACTTTAATTATGAACTAGTGCCTCTAAAGCAATGACTGCTCTAATATGCATGGAGTATACCATGAGGCAGGTTATGCAAAGGTTATATTTTTGTTCTAGCAATTTTCTGTAGAGTATATGCCACAATGGATCAAATGCTACTGTGGATTATTTGCATAAAAATATAGTAAAATTATAAGCTTTTAATAACACAATATTTATCAAGTTCATTATGATACCAAAAAATATATTTGTTCTATGTTCAGAACTATGCTATCCTTTTTAAAAATTTTCTTTCTTTTCTTGTAAAAATTAAGCATTTTCTTTATATTTTAAAGTTTTTTACTCTTTAACATGCAGCAACACTTGTTTACCTCGAAGCAATATGTATATCAGACAATATATTTGGCCCTCCTCAGTTGCTTCTAATAATTTTTAAAAATTTTTTAGTTAATTCAAATTATTCATTACATACAATAGTTAAATTAAACAATTACGTAACTATTGCACTCAAATAATTTGAATTAACTAATAATTATTTAAAATTATCAACAGCAACTAAGAAAGGGCAAACATTAACTTGCCTATTACTTAAAACTGTTATACAAGAATGCTGTTATATGTTGAAAGAAAAAAAACCATTTCAAATAATATATTATATTTGCAAATCTTTAAAATGTGATAAAGTTCAAGCTTAATAATGAAACAAAATAAACATATTTGTTTAAAATACAACTACTCAAAAAACTGAGTAAATTTGATACAAAGCTATGAAGAACCAATAACCAGCAAAACATTTCCCAATTTTTTTGCTGGTTCTTGTAGCTTTATATATTTGTTTAAATTTAAAAAGAAACTGAATAACTTCGTAGAAGTCTTTGTAATTACAAATGAAAAAGAAATGATAATCACCTTTGGTTTTTTAAGTTGTTACAAGTATTATAGATTTTATAAACAGATATAGATTTTTAGAACAGAGATATAAATAGATTTTGTAATTTTTCTATTACAAATGAAGAAATTTATTAAATTTGTTATGCAAGATATTTTATTTATCTTACATTTTGCAAACCACTCTAATATTTGCTATTTTAATTCAAGTCATTTCATTTTGATAAATCTTATTGAAAGATGCAATTTCTTAAAACTCAGGACTAAAAATCAATAAAAATTATTTCACATATAGCATATCTTTATTTAACAACTTAATTATGTATATTCATCTAACAATATTTTCAAATACTTTGTGTCTCTTATCAAGATTCCAATAAGTTATTCATAAGTTTCATTAAAATCAAATGAATAAAAATAAATAAATATATTCAAACAACTCATTTTTAAATTCATAACATTTTAATAATTATGATTAAAATTTTAATAATTGTAAATTAATTATAAAATAAAAAAATTGACAAGTCAGTTCCAAGAATATGTGAATTTAAAAGAAACTACATGTTAGATTAAAAAAATATTTATTATTATTCAAAATAATTTCTTTCAAAATCACATTCTTTTACATTTGCTCATGAAACTAATGCAAAGTTTTTTCTTTTTTAACTTATTTAAACGTACTGCCAAAAATTCTTTTTATAGTAGAATCTGCTTATTGTAATTATGGATATTATTTACAGTTGTCAGTGTCAGTGCTTGGGATGGTCTATTAACTACCCGATTTGTCACTCTAGGCTCAAATTGCAGAGTGCTTTTCATTCTCAACCTAAATGATATAATAAATTTACTTCTTCAAAATACAAAACTTTTAAAATTATTATTTGTATTTTTACAATATATAAGACTTATACAAACAGAAATATTGAAGTCTTTCTTGTTGTCCATTTCATCATCACAGGAAACATAATCCATATTAGTAAAGTCAACCTTTCGGATATTTTCCATAAAATTTCATATTGTAAACATGAAATTTTATCTTGATCTTTTACTCAATTTGCATAGCTATAGGCAGGGAAGTAGTCTATAAGGAAAGGTCAACTCCACCAATGTGGATTGTGTTTCCTGTGATATGAAAAGGAAGACTTCAATTTTTCTATTTGTATAAGTCTTTATTATTTGTAATTTTACAATATATATTTTAAAAATATATTTTGTCCTGGATTTTTTAAAAATTTATTTACAACAGTAAAACTTCTCTAACTCAAGCATCTGTAACTCGAATATTTCTTTAACTTGAAGAAAATAAAGCACTTGGTAGGTCTCAATGGAATAGCATAAGAATTTAACATTTCCAACTTGAACTTCCTTAACTCGCATTTTCTCCAAGTCTAAAGTTCTCATGGTCCCCTGACACTGATTTATATTACTTTCAACTTCCGTGATTTGAATTATAATATTATGCTATCCAAAGTGATCCTAATTATCAGATTTCCACAAAATTTTCAGACAGTTAGTTGTATCTACTGTCCAACACACATTTGCAGACAATGTTCCAGTCCAAAGCAAGGGGACCACTTCTCTCTTATCTCAATGACATGTACTGTACTTGCAAAACTGTGCAATTCTATTAGTTACATTGAACATTTTACTGAAAGATGTTATACAGACTGTTTAAAATAAAAAAAATCTATTGAAGATTCTTTATATAATGCAAGAGAGGTAAAATACAAATCTATTCAGAATCAGTATTTTTCATTCTAGTCTCTAACTCAAATTGTCTATAACTTGAAGTTTTTTCTGTCCTGTGGAGCTTCAAGCTTTTATTGTGGTTTAGCTGGTATAAAACCTTTTCAGGAAAAATTAAATAATAATCTATATCACAGAAGCTAAAAATTTACCTTTTTTCCAGTGGCTATTAACATTTTTTTGTATTCAACATGTTTCTGTCTGGAAACTCTTTTGTTCAATTACAGTATTTTTAAATGCTTGTGTTAAACCATTCACCAGACATTCCTATCTGGTTTAATATTGTTTAATAAACAAATGTAGTTTAAAAGTTAAGCTACCTTACTCAACTTCCATGTTTTGAAACCGTGTCACATCTTTGTTTGTTTTATAAATGCAATGTAGTGTAATAACGATCACTTGGCACTATTCATTCTTTTATTTCAATATTCGTTGATGTGTTAATATTGAAATAAAAGAATGAATAGTGCCAAGTGATTGTTATTATGCTACATTGAGTTTATAAAACAAACTACCTTACTCAAATTAATTTTTAATTTAATTTATTTAATATGCTTATTATTATACTTCATCCATTTTTTCCAGCTATGGGGTACCAAGGTATCATTTTTCCTGGGATGTGCTCACATATTTAGTGCTGGCAAAATTAGCATTCTAAAAATGTAAAAGTTAAAATAAACTCATAAAACTTAAACTATAACTGAAATTTTTTATTAAAATAAGTGATCAAATAATTGGTATTTTTTAAGACATGTTTTTCCATTTTTCTCATCAACTCAGCATGTCACTGATAATACTCAACCATTATTAGTCTTAATCAGTACTTCTAACTTTAATTATTTTCATTATTTGCTTGCAATACTGTAGTAATACAAACTGTTGGTACTTCTTACTTCATTTATGTGCTAGCTATTATCAATTAACCTCTTGGTACCCAATTAAGTGTTTCATATGCCCAATAATGATCAGTTATTCTTGCAACATGTCCAGCTGCTGCCATTTAAACATTTTTATTCTAGGAATGATATTGATAACTCCTGTCTTTTTTCTGATTCAAATGATATGCCTTTTATCTTTTCTTGTTATGTCAAGCATATATCTTTCCATCTTTATTTGGGTAGTCTAACATTAATTAATAATAATAATTTATCCAAATTAATAAATTTCAATTTACACGTTTTAATTGTTTAAAATGTCTTTTTAGTATTCCAATCAATAAAACTGGAATTTCTATTAATTGTAGGCCTGTTTATTAACCTACTGTATGTTATTAACCTATCAGTTTATCATCATCAGTATATGTGAATTCCAAGTGATTACAATAAGTTGGTTCTACAATATTATATTGCATTTAAGTTTCCTGTATTCTCATTAACTGTAACTTTATTTTCTTACCAATATATTATATTAACACATTCAATTATTAAAAATTTTGTAACTGAAAACAAGTGCTTAAAAATGACACTCTTTGTTAGTTATTCACTGTGAAATTAAGCTTCAAGCAACTGAATAATTTGTTTTATTGATAATTCTTCATTTTTACTGTTTTTTTTCTTACTGATCAAAAATATTATTCTACAATTCTTTGATAGTTAAATATACACTGACAAATTATATAAAGAAGACACCTCCAATAATCAGATGATAATTCTTTTCAATTCAAACACAAATTATTTATCGTATTTATACAGACACTTGGCAAATCACAGAATTAAATTTTATTCAGTTGATACGTGTTAAATGAAAGAAACACGTATCAACTGAATAAAATTTAATTCTGTGATTTGCCAAGTGTCTGTATAAATACGATAAATAATTTGTGTTTGAATTGAAATAAATTACTGGCACGGTTTCAAAAATACCAGATGATAATTCATTTCATGATCTAATATGCAAAAATAATTGATACAAGAAGCATGCAATACTGTCTCCTTTCTGTATTTTTCATTGTGAAACCTTTAGCTGTTTGAACACATAATGTTAAACTAATAACTTTTCTATGCTGTTAGTGTAAAATATTTTATTCATCTACACAAACAATTCATTGTACAAATTTTATATTGTTACTTATAAAATTAATTCTAAAAAAAAAAAAAAACTGAATGTAAGTTATTGACATGGAGAATTAAATAAAATTTACTTTAAAATTATCACCTTTGCCCAATCTCCAGCCATTACATGAGCTTGAAATTTAGTTGCAGTAGGATGATCAAGGCGGCAACCAGATTCTTGCATCAATTGTTCTGCTGTACGGCTAAATATTAATTTAAAAACATATATTAGAATACATTAAAATATATAAACATTCAAATGTAAGATTAATAATAATTATTATTATTTAATGAATTCTAATGTAAAATTAATGAACTCATTAAAGTGTGACAGCTTATTGCCCAGGTTAAAGGTTCTTTGCCTCATTAAAGTAGTTTCCAATTTGATTTTTTGGCAAATCAGATCTTGAAAACAAAGTGGAATTTAAAAAACATTTATAGAAAATTTTAAGCTTAATACAAAGGGGTTTCAATAAGTAATGACTTTTATTTTTTTTAAGCAAAAGTTTTAATGCATATGGAAAATACAGAATATACAAAATGAAATATGTGGATTAGGCTACTTTTTGACATAGGAACCATTCAGGTTCAAGCACTTGTCCTAGCAGTGCCCCTGCTTGAAGTTGCCTGTGTTGTAGAATGCCATTTCTTAGCCATACAACCATCTGCAAACAGCCAATTTAACCTCCTTGTTGGAATGGAACCTCTCCATAGTCAGGAATTTCTTCAAAGGACCAAACAAGACACCAAGTAATTTTTCCGACAACATCTTCAAGCATATGTAGCAGTTGCTTTGAATCGTTCGATCAACAGCAGTGACTGTTTGAGGCAAAGCTGCACTTACCGGATGACCTGACCTGTGCTTATCAATCACACACTGACAACCATTTTTAAACATTTCGCACCATCGATGGACATTTGAATAGTCCATGCAATCACCACTGTACACTTTCTGCATTTCTGCATGAATTTGTTCATATTTCTTGCTCCCTGCCTATAGAAAACAAATAACACTTCACTGTTCTTTTCTTTCCATTTGTCAGAAATGTCCAACAGGCAACACAAGTGTTCCTATCATGCAATAGTATTGCCAGAAATTCAAACTTCATTTACTTTATTCATGTTTTTGCATACATATTAAAACATTTGTTTAAAAAAAATAAAAGGTGCTACTTATTGAAACACCTTTGTACATGTGTCACAACAAATCTTTAAAATCAACAACTATATTTATTTAAGCTAACATTTTCCAATTTATTGGCCATTTTAGGCAAAATAGCACAACTTCCAAATTAATGATCTTGTTCTATTTAGCCTGAAGATAGCCAATAAAGTTAGCCAAAAATGATAGCTTAAATGATTACAGTTGTTGCTGATTTTAAAGGTTTGTTGTGAATATATTAACGTATAGCCAGTTTAAAAGAATGTTATTTTAAGCTTATTTTTGACCCTACAATCTATCCTTAAAATATTAGCACAAATTATAAAAATATAATTTTATAATAATATTCTTATATAATTTTTTAACAAATTTCCTTCTTATATTCTCACAAGTTTTAATAAACTATTTGTCATCCTCACAAAGCAATGCATTTTCAGTTACCTTAATTTTATGAAATGATATATATCCATATATTGTATTTGTTTTCTTTCAAATTTTTTCTTTATTTGCAGTAGTATTTTCTCTAAACTGTGCTATAACAGGTAAATTTATTATCTTACAAATAATTAAATTTTCAGGAAACAATAATGGAATTATAGAAAATTAATGTGTTTCTTATAGACTAAACAAAGAGTAAATTTCAAATTTATATTATATATTTTATTCATAAAATACTAATATCTTTTTTAAGTTGTTCTAGCAATAGAATTTATTACAACTACAAAATTGTTCCTTGCTTGTAAGAATGAGTCTGAATTCCACTTGATTAATGGACTTATATTTATGTTGGTTTTTAATGTAGATTACTTAAAGAAGAGGATTAAAGTTATAAGAAAATATGTCACCATTAGTAACTATAATATAACAACAACTTATATTATATAAATTATTATTACAAATTAAGAGTTACCCTACAGAAAAAGCTCAAATAATATAACATCTTATATTATTTTAATTCTTTCTACACACATTTATGTGAAATAAATACTGAATTAACAAATGATACATATTACATATTGGAAAATTTTTCTTGAAAGATAAGCTAGTGAAAAATTTCATTTAAAACATATTTCAAATATAAAAATGTTATTTGTATTCTTTTTAGTTTTGAAAATCAAACACCTTATTTATTTCCTTAATAGGACACATAATTAAAAATTCTATTAATAAAATTAAAAAATGTAAAAATAATATTCTACATAAATCCAATCTATCAGAATATAATTTAAATTGCTGAACCAGAGAAAATGTATATGACAATTAAAAGACTACCAATAATATATTTTAAATTTCTTGTAATACTTCTGTTACTGTTGGTGACAATCCTATTCTCATTTGTTAATTTCTTTTTTTTTTTATTTTTATAAATAAAAATCACCATTTAATCTGAGCTAATTATTATTGACAATACATTTGTTACTTCTGTAAATGCTAAAACTTGATTGTTTTTGTTTATCTATTTTAGGATCATTTTTATTCATCAACTAAATCAATATTTAAATACAGACTAATTATTTTTTTCAGAGTCACAGATAAAAAGCCAAAACAACCCCAAAAAGATATGATGGAAACTAGAATATGTCCATATATCACCAATTCCTTTTTAAAAAATTTGTATTTTTAACTTAATGTATTTTTGTGCTTTTAAAAGAAATTTTTGGCGGCCAGTAGCCTAAAATAGAAGGTCAGTCGCCAAGAATATGTAGTCTGGAATACGAAGATAATAAATGGTGGCAGGGCCGCCGTAAGTGGGCGTGCAAGGCGTGCACCGCATGCGGGCGGCACGTCCAGGGGGCGGCAAAGAGCCTTTCTGGCAAGCTCAGCATAGGTAATCATAGTTAAACAGGGGGCGGCATAATCGGTATTGCACACGGGCGTTCAAACAGCTAGCGGCGCCCCTGAATGGTGGTTCCTTTTTTGGAAGGACTTTGTCTTCAGATATTTAACAGACTAATTATATTGATTTGACAGATTATGGAATAGTTGCTGTTTACATTATTTTGAAAAAATACTTTTTAATTTCATGTCAGATTCCATTTTAATTTTATTATGTTTTTATGAATATTTAATTTCAAAAGTTTTTTAAATATGATAAAAAACGACTGGATTGAAATTTATTTTCAATTTCTATGCTAACAATGTTAATAATAATAATAATAATTAAAAAAATATATATTAGATTATTTTCTAAAGTGTATTAAAGTGCAGTACCTAATCCAACACTTTTTGTTTTACCATCAGTTTCATCATCACCAAGCTAAAAATACACTAGTACTTTAATATTTTTTATATTGTCAAATAGCATATATAAAAAACTAACTTTCTAACAAGGAGGGAATAAAATGTATTCAATTTTTTACTTTAAGAATAAATTTACTTTTCTGGGCATATATTTTTTTCATCCCAAACTAAAATTTTAGTTTTATTACTTATATTGAAATCCAAAATTTTTTTCCTCATCTAAATAAAAATATTTGAGAATTTTATGATTCATATTCCAATCCAACAATTTTGTTTGAATTGAATAAAAATTATTGGAATTTGTATGCTGTTTCTTTCATGTTTCTGCATTTGATTTTGATTCAATTCCTAATATTTATTTAAGTAACATATCTATTGCCAAAGATGTTTTACAAAGACAATTGTAGTAACAAACACAACACTTTTTTCTTTAATTGGAAAACTAGCTTGATTCCTAAAGAATTTTTCTATGAATTCTATGCTGAATAAAAATATGAAGTCATTTATTCATTTCTTCCTCTATAATAAAAGTTTTTAAAAATTATTTTTAAATTGTATAATTTACTTTTCAATATTTAATAAATTATATCCTTCCAATGCTGTAGCTGCTATCTCATTTTGTCACTACAAATTTTTCCATTCAGACTATCACAATAGATAACTTTGAATATAAACTCACACATATTCTTTACCTAAATATTTATTAAGCTTTCAATTTCATTATAGAAATTGTTTGCCTGTAATATACTTTAAATAGAAATTTACTTCCTGTATAAGATATTTCCAGATCTAGAATTGTTAGATATTGTGTTTGCCTGTTTTGAATCTTATTACTTACAAAGAACAGAAAAATACTTGTTCTATATTTAGCATATATTGCTAAATACCTTATAATTATTTTGAAGTAACTCTGGATATTTTTCATAGCTAAATAATATTCACTCATTCATGTCATTCAGATTAAAATTAGATTTTTATTTTCTCCAAATTTTTCCTATCTATATGAATATAATTTCTTAAATTAAGGTACTATTTTTTCCCTGTCTATTTTCTCTATTTATATATCAATATAGACTATCTATCTACATTTATATGCTAACATTATTAAACTGATAAATAATACTTTTTAATTTTACAGTCTAACTTTATTCGTTTCTCTTCATGATCAAAAAGTCATAATCTTTAAAATGGATGTTAATAAGCAAAAGAAATTACTTTAAGAGCAACTCCATTAAAGCATTTTTTTGTTTTTATTAATCCTAAGAGTCATTAATACATTTTTAGATATTAACAACACAGTTATGTAAAAAATTGAAAATATTCCAAAAGTTCCTTAAAAAGTCTCTTAAAATAAATAAATTGAATTTTGATAATTACTTACTTTTGTAATAGTTTCAAGTTTTTTAAGAATTCAATCATTGTCATTTATTTTTAATTTTACAAATAGTTATGTTTTTCAGTAATAATATGTTGATTTTGGAGAACTCATATTCTCATAGATAATTTGATTGTTATATATTGACTTAATGATTCTGAAATAACTTTGATTCCAATGTTATTTTTAATCTTCAAGATTATGAAAATTGCAAAAAGGTCTTTTCTCTGTTGAGATAGCACTGATGTCTCATCCATTCAAAAGCAGTTTGTGTTCTTAATTCTCAGTTTTCAAATTTCAGGATTTAGTTATAATATGATCAATACAAAACCTTCCTCGCTTATTTCTAGCCGTTTATACACGAGTACGAACATTTTTGGCCTTCTTAATAGGCCTTCTTCAGGTACACTGTGGTCTGTTAGAGC